CCCCCCCTCATCCGACCTCACACCCCTCCATCATCACTCCCTCCCTCTCCTCTATTCGCTCCTTTCGTCACTCTCTTCACCTCTTCTATCCCCATAGAGTCAAAGACATATAAGGTCCCTTGAGCAACGCGCCTCTATCGCTTTCGGTTCCCCCTGTCTCTCAACTTTATCACACCCCCATTCGAGCATCGTTCGTTCATTATCAGAACACCCGGCAAGAGTACAAGAACAACACTCCCCCACCACCACCCCTCTTCTTCAGATCAACAACAACAAGAACAACAATCACACGTGAACCACAACGTCAACATCCGCCGGCATGTCTCTCTTCAAGCGCACGTTTAGGTCGCAAGACCCCAACGTCCGCGTGGACAAGTCGTCGAGGCTGAAGAAGTCGAGCTCGATCCGGGACAACCAGAAGGTGTCGAAGATGCAGCGCTCCGTGACCGATGACCAGCCCGCCCCCATGGCCCCGCCCGTCGCCGCCGCCGCACCCCGCGGTGGCCCCGCGCCGATGCCGGCCAAGGCCTCCGGCGGTGGAAAGTCTGCCGTCGCCCCCTCGCCCATCGTCACCCTGACGGTCGGCCGTGAGGGTCGCTTGTTCGCCGCCCACGAGGACGTCCTCTTCCAGTCGCCCTTTTTCGAGGCCGCCTGTCGAGGTCAGTTCTTCGAGGCCCAGAGCAAGCGGATCGCTCTCCCCGACGAAGAACCCGAGGTCTTCTCCGCCATCCTCGAGTACCTCTACAAGGGTGACTACTACCCCCGCCTGATGCACAACAGGCACCGCAACTCTTGGGAGCTCGAGGATGCCGTCAGAGGATCCCCCCAAACCTCCCCCAACCCCGATAACCACCACAGCCACCACCACAGAGGTGGCCGCGCAGCCCCCCCTGCCCCGGGCGCCTACCCGCCCACGCCCAACTCGGCCCACACCACGACAAGCAACACCACCGCCGGCTCCGGCGCCCCCGGCAGTGACGCGACCATCTACATCGCGGCCTGCGGGCAGCACATCCTCCGCGACACCGTCATCTACTGTGCCGCGGAGCGGTACGGGCTCGAGGAGCTCAAGCGCTTGGCCCTGCGCAAGCAGGGTCTGCAGTCCGGCGTCGACGTCGGAACCATCCTGCGCTCCGCCCAGTACGCCTACGCCCACACCCCCGACTCGGACTCGCGTCTGCGCGCTCACTACCTCGCCTTGATCATCAGGTGTCGCAAGACATTCAAGAGGAGCGGTACCATGCAGACTGAGATGGAGCGCGGCGGCAGCAAGCTCTTCTTCGACCTGTTCGTGGCCATGTGCAACCACCTCGACGACGTGATCGACCACACCAACGCACGCACCCCCAAGACCGTCTGATGAGGTGAATACGAGAAAACAACAACAAGACTCTTGTTCGGTTCGTGCTGGACTGCGTCCGGTTCGACGACCGTGAGAGGATGCGTTCGTCTCTCTCACACATGTGCTATCCAAAAGCGAGCATGGTATATTTGCCAACGGCGTTCACACGGTGTTTTTGTCATGTGCGCATTTTGCTTCGGATTTGCATTTACACGGAATGGAGGTTGTTCTGAGAATTGCGATATCAAGGAGGCTTGATTCCTTTCCGCGGCATGTCACTTTCTCCTCTCGTTTCTCTCCCACACCAGATTGGAAACACCCCCTTTGGGAGTTCTTTTTTTCTCTTCTCAAAAAGGAAAAAAAAATTCCACTTCTCATCGAGGTTGGCCGAAACCTTTCTGGTGGACTGCGGAGAGCGCGAGGACTAATACCCCCCGTACACGAAAAGAACCCACTCCTCCCGCTCTTCTTACCTTCTTCCCTTCCCGCATCTCTGGACATGGTCCACGCAGAAACAGCGGCCCTGGCAACTATTTTCTTCTCTTTGCACTGGCGTTTACCTCCAGGGTCCCCTAGTACGCTCCGCGTTCGCTCGCTGGTGGTGGAAACGGGACACCCAAGAGCTCATCAGAGAGAGTAGAGGAAACGATCAGAAGAGAACTTGCTACGCCTTTTCTTTACACAAAAAAGCAACCAACAAAAAAAAAGCACCACCCCCCACACCAAGTTTGTCCTTTTTCAACTGCTTCTGCTTACTTGGGTCACGGCAACTGGGGAAGGCGGAAACTCAACTCTCATAAAACTTCTTGACTACTCCACTTGGGATGGAATCAATGGAGAAAAAAAAGAAGTGGCGTTTCGGCATCTTAGAAACACCCGGCACAACAGATGTACGGGTCCAAAGAAACCATACAGAACTGTGTTTTGTGTTCTTTTTTTGTTGTCTTCATTTGCTCTTCCCGATTAGGAATTTTTACGGATGTTTTGGAGGACGCATGTTTGCCGCCTTCGACTACTCCAGGGCAGGCCGAAGAGGTTTAGAAAGAATTCGCGAAAGGAACCACAGGCTTGGCGCGCGCAATACAACCTCTTCAGTCATTCCCGAAATCTGAAAAAAAATGAAAAAAACAAGAAATGAAAGAGAAAGAGAAAAAATCATGTCAAACAAAGCCTTGACTCACCTCACATGCATTCTTTTTTTTGCTTTCATCGGATCTCCTTTGTCACTTTTTGGAATCTTGAATCTTGAATTGGAGGAGGAGCGGTCTGCATTGGTTACCCGCTTTTGCAATACAGCTGGCGGTCTTGTTTTACTTTCTTCCTGTATGCAACGTATGAAGATGATGATCTTGATGATTCGTCGGGCCGTCCCGAGTGGATGGCTTCGACCGGCTTGAGCCCTCGTCAGGGCGAGGTAATGAGAAATTTCGGCCACCTCACTTGCTTGTTCCCCCTTTTCCCCGCCATGTCATGCAAACAATGCGACGTTCCCCCAGTGACTCACTGCTTCAGAGGATGTTGTTGAGAAGTGGTCTTGGCCGCCAAGTGCTTGGTGGGTCGAGTGCTCTAAGAGACTGACTCACCATTGACTTGAGCTGTTCGAGCTCTGGTGTTGGGGGTCTTTGAGAACCCCCTTTCTCGTAACAGGAACACGCGGGGTATGCTACCAACAATATGATGATTAAGTTGGGTGGTTCCACCCTCGGTCTTGCCCGCGCTTGTTTCCACGTTCCCTACCCTTTTTGCGTCAAGTCGACTTATCTTGCCGAAGGATATTTCAAAGTACAGACGTCCACGGCTACATGCTTTAGCATTTTCGATCCTCAGAGAGAAAACAGGTTTTGTTAACTTCAATGAGGCAACTTTATAAGAGACAAGCGCCCCCTAGCAAAACCATGCCACACCCCCTGAGCTGGGCTCAAGTCGAAGCAGCCAGTTCTCTATCACCCGCTTTTGTGTTGAAGCTCCAGGATAGGCACGCTCGGTAAGGTCAATTCACGGATCATGTGTTCTCACTGCTTTACGTAGGCTGCTATACTAGCATGAGTGGATGGAATGAGCAACCAACGAGCACAAAGGTGGTTCCATGGCGGCGGTCAAGATCCCAAGGAATTTGCTACGATCAACGCCATGTTCCATAAGTCTCGAGCAGTGTGAAAAGAATTTTCAATGTGCGAAGGACTTTGGGAAGCCTCTTGAAGTTGCAATGCACTCTTTGGAGTTCTGCTCAGAGCACCAACGCCCAGCGCCACTAGCCATCAGAACTCCCATCCAGTTGTTGACGGAATACTCTTTGTACCGTTTGCAAAGAACGTAAAGGCATTACATATCGCTTGGAAGAGACGGAAATTGGCTTCTCCCAGCCTCTGGTAGTTCGCTGTTGTCAATCATAACTGGACGACTCCTTGATGAGGTGCTGAAAACCAACAGCAATGTCACCTATGACAATCTCAATCTCTACTCACACTCAGAAGTGACTTTTGAAACCCAACGTCATTGAAAACCAAGCATTCAAACTTAGAAACTGCACGGTGGAATTCACCCAAGTCAGCTGACCATCATGTCTTCGGTCGGGCTTCAATTATCGCGTGGTCCTGCATTGGCGTTACCCTATCGCATTGCAGCACACCGATGTCAACAGTTTCTCCGAAAAGAATCATATAGCTGTATTTAAGGCATTAACCAATGCCCGTAACTCAGATTTCATGGGACATTGTCGCCTTTCAACTATGCCACCCGAGATAGACAACGGCTGCAACGAATACCTCAGATCTGCACGTAGGTGACAGGCCGCCAAGAGACTGAGGGCCGAGGAGAGAAGACAACGACAGACACAGTAAGAGGCATGGGAAAGGTTTACCAAGGATTGTCTCAAAGACCGCCTATTTGTCGTGTGTTATGCCGATTACTTTGCCTGTTTCCTATAGCTATTCTACTCCATCATTATGCTTCTCTCATTATCGTTGCTGTTATTGTTGCCGCTGCTTCTGTTATCGTTATTACTTCAATTGTTGTTGTCAGTTCTGTTATCGTCGTTGCTTCAATTATTTTTATTACTTCTATCATTGTTATCGTCGTCGTCGTCGTTGTCGCTACTATCGTCTCGGACAGGAGTGATTAAGTACACAAGAAATATAGCCTCGTAGACACAGGGGAAGTAGGCGATCTCCTGTCTAATAATCACTCTACTTAAGTTCAGAACCACAGCTAGTAGAGCGCTACTTGCTACGGTAGGTTGTCAAGTTCTAAAACGAAGCCGCGGAAAGTGCCTCACTTAACGGCTGCGCACAATGTATCCACCAAAAACACCAGGAACTACCAGTTTTGGATCAACGAAGTCTTTGAACCTATTTGAACAAGTACATGCTCTGTCCGCGGTTTCGAAATCGCTTACGGATAACAGCAGGACGGTCATAGCGACGTCGAATATAATCCGACTTTCTGCCAGCTATCTTGATCATGGTGATGACGAGTTGTGGCTGGAACTGCGAACGCAACGGGCCAATGTTGTAGAGAACTCTTTTTATTGAGAAGGTCTCAATAGCGGCCCTGCCACGTCAACAGCAACAGTGCGTTACGCGAACCCAGCTCAATGGCAAGTAAACCTAATATCTTGTTCCGCTGTGACGTGGGCGTAGTCAAGGCAACCGAGTTTCGACCATAGCCCATAGCCAAGCGTCCGTAGCATCCCATAAGCAATGATGCAGGGAACGGGATTCTTGCTTTTGTCAGACATAGCAGCTCCAGTGAAACATCATGAGGCCACAACAGACCGCAATTGCAAATCGAACGAGACTTGACCCTTGGGACGCCACTTGCTTCCCTTGGGTCCGTCATCTCTAAAGAGAATACCGGCGATGCTGACAAGGAAACAAATGGCTCGCTGCTGCGGTGGCACTCGCTAACGACGCGACGTGCGACGTTCGCGACCCGGTGCAACGAGCTGCAATCAAAACCACCCACGAGATGCTACAGTCAAGGCGCTCATCTCGTCTAAGCTGGGCTGAACGAGAGCTCAAGTCGCGGCATATGCACCCAGGCCACAAGACCCGCATTGACGTCTTCTAGAGCGTTTCTACGTTGCGAGCCACAGACGGTATGGGGCCTCGGACACGACCAGCTTCGTTCTTTTACGTTGACCGACTTGACCGAGCGACGTTTGTTTCCGTTAGATTCGAACCCACCTGTCACGGCCGCAACGCTCACAGGTGCACGTCTCCCGCGAGGGCTCGGCCCATGCACATCACACTGGTGTTGAGAAATATTAGTGAGACATCTGCAGGTGCAGGGTAGGATGCACGTACGAGGCCCGCACGACAGGAAGGCGAGCCAGCGTATCATCGGGCAGCAGTACGATGCCGCTGAGAGACAAGTGCTTCGCGGGCAGACAGGTCAAGACCACCCCCAGGGAGATCATCATAGTTCCCGTCTTGTGGAGAGACACGAACCCCTCACAGACCAGGGCACGGCAGGAATGTTGAGAACATGATATATAGGGCGCCGACGCCGCTGGTGCACTCCATGTGTCTGGCTCGGGCCTGATTCTTCGATAATCCGTTGTTAGCTCATCGCCATCATCGTCGGCCGCGATCGTGCGAGACGAGACTGTCGACCGCTAGTGACCATCCACGACCGATCTTTTCTGCTCGAGCACGGAATCGAGTCGACGGCGACGTATCGTACCGAACTCCGAGATTTGATCAACATCATTCAAGGTCGAATCGAAGCCGTTTACGGGAGAAGCTCGGGGCAATCAGTTGTTTCTGAGGGTTGCGCTCTGAGGGGTAAGTTTGCACATCTCGTTGTCGGGTTCCATTCATAGTTCATCCAGCTCGTCTCACGTCTATGAGGCCTTCGGGAATTGCAGACACCGGACGCTAGCTTACATCGAATTTTGCATTTCCCCCTTGGGTTTCCCTGTGGCGTTTCGTTACTGCCTTCTAGAGCCAGTTGAATGGATGCACATGCCGACATCAGCGCGAACAACGTTCAGATGGACGCGTCTTGAACATGGGTCCCCGTCGACTGGTTCCAGGGGCATCGTACCGCCGTATTGCAATCTTTTTCCCCCGGCGGCAGCATCGGACGGGTTGACGGCCGGCTCTTGGTTTTATTCGTACTTTATTATTCTTGAACTTCTCTCCTCGTTCTTTTTTTCCTTCGGCTTCTTCCCGCCCCTGTTCCCATCGACAGGGTTTTTTTGGGTATCCGCACCGGGCCGAAAAAGAGGGCAAAAAGCTGGAGACAAGATTGGTCAATTGGTTGCCCGGGTCCAGGGGTAATAATTGAGCTCAGAGCGCGCCCAGCCTGGTGCCCCGGAGACGCGAAGTGTGGTGGGATGTTGTTACTTTAAGGGACATTCACATGTGGACGCGGACGCAGTAGGAGAGAGTTCAGTGGCGGTTTCAAGCTGACATATCTGACAAGCAGGAAGAAGCTAACTCGTCCAGAGACAGAAGCAACAGGAGCAATTGACAATTGAGAGGGCGCCGGCGTCTTGTCATACCCATCAGGCTGGCTGTTGTCCTCCGTCATAGTCGGCGATCTTCGCAGCCAGCAAATCTCAGTGGAAGAGGCCAGGACGACCAAAATTTCAGCGACAGGGCCCCTTGCTTTGCGTCCCACTCTTTTGGTCCCGTGCGCCTGGGTTGAGATTTGCACCGGGAGAGGCTGGTGAGTGAAGTGAAGTCGTCTTTCGTCGCTTTTTCCACAGACCCCCTTTCCCCGAGGCATCCATTCCATGTCTCCCTCTCTCTCTCTCTCTCTCAGTCTGTCTCTCTCTTGTTACCCCTTGCTCTGGTACCCTCGTTCCCCTTGCTCGAGTCCTGCCTTCCACCCACTTAGCCGTGTCCCAATCGTCCATCCATCGCCTTTCTCAGAGACACATCCATGTCCAACGGGCGCGCTCTGGTCTCTTCTCCCACATCCTTGGGTGCATTTCGTCCTCTCTTTGACCACACAGACACCATGATTCGTCACTTCGTCTCTTCTCTTCTGTCTGATATGCGGTCGGCATTGCGTTGCAGAGGGCCGCACCACGCAACAGACAGTTATGCATTCGCCATTCATCCCCTTCTTCCTCCATCCTTTCCACTCTTACGTATCCGTCCGTCCCTTCTCTTTACCTTTTTCGCACCTGAACCGGGGCAACGAGAGAGGGGTCCCATCGGTCATTAATAGCGTACCTACCTATGCTCTGGAGCTAATAATACGGCGCGCCGCCTGACCAGTGAGCAGTGACCATCTAGAAAAGGCAGATTCTGAGAGATGAGAGCAATCAATATTTGCCCAATTCTCTCTCCTTCTCGCCGGTTTTCTCTGCCATTATCAATCCGACTTGCGACGCCACCAGTTTAGACCGCAGTCAATGCGACCCTGGACCGTTGGGCTGCATTCCTCTCTGACTTGCTCCCATCCCACCAGCAGCAGCTTTCTTCCTCTTGGTTTCCGGCCGACCGTAGACTAAATCCTCCCCCTTCCCCGATCCAGTCAAACGCAGCCAGACCTGCAGCAAACCTCTGGCTGTCACTGCCTACAGTCACATCGCATCATCACCCCGAACGACCAACCAACTGCGCAAGTCGCCTGCGCCCACACACCCTCTTCTCTCTCTCTCATCTGATCGAGCGCAAGGCAAGGTTATCTCTGCCAGGGGTTTAAGGGAACTGCGGGAAAGAAAGAAAGAAATTCCCAGAGCAGGGCAGAAAAACGAAAGAAAAGGCGAGCACGGCCCCCTCTTATTATCTCCTCTCTTGGTCGATCAACGCGAACAATCGAGACAAGACGAGACACTCGACCGGCGACAGAGACACTATCCCGAACGCCCTCCGCCTCATCCCCATCCCCCATCTCCATCCTGCCTGAAAGCTGCAGCCACGCGCATTTCTCTCCCTCGCGTCAGACCAGAACAGACCAGACCGAAGAGGAACGAAGCCAAGACGAGGACGACCACCGGCACTGTACGATCTGCGGTCGCAGTACCTCGCAGATACCCACGTCACCGCCGCGTACCTGCGCCAGTTCCTGTTCCTGTTGCTCTCTCTCCTGCGCCCTGTGTGCGCCAGCGATACGAACCCTTTTCTTGGTCCCGTCCTATCTCGCCTCGCCCTGAGCTGCGCGCCGTGCTAAACACCGATCCGGCCCATTGCCGCCGCCAAATCCAGGAGATTCTGGAGAGACTACGACAGAGACTACAGAAAACTACCTCTGCTCTAGAAAACCACCAGCCGCCTCTGGCGCGCGCGCTGTGTAAGACAGCCCGCCTGGGTCCCAACTGTCTGTCGCACAGCAAAGGGGGCCACGGCCACCCAAGCTAGCTCTGTCTTGTGGCTCTCTTTCTTCCTCGCCTTGGGTTGCGTTCCCATTGTTTCCTGCTGGAGCCCTGGGTCCGTCACCCCGACCAGTGACACCCCCCTCCACGTTCCTTTCCTCTTCCAGGTTGACTTGTGCGTACGGTGTATCTCATCTGTACCTTTTCCTGTACACGCTCTGTGCGGTACCTGACCTGACTGCATCCTGCTGCTGCCATTGTTGCACCGCAGCCGCAGTAGCAGCGCAGCAAGCGGCAGCAAGCAGCAGGTCCCGTACCATCTCCTGAGCCCAGCCCGGCCCCGTGCCGCCCGCCGTCCGTTCTGCAGTCGCGTGGTCTGTCGATTCTCTAAATCCCCTTCTCCTTTCTCTCCCTTTGTTGTCGCCATGGACTCTTCCGACCCAAACTCAATCCCCCCTATCCCTCAACGCTACCGAAACCTCCAAACCCCTGAGCCTCGCCAACAACGCCGCCGCTCCTTACCTCCTCCGTCGCGCCGCGATACCGATGCCGTCCCCAGCTCGCCCGAGGTCATATCTTCTCTGATCACCAGTCTCTCCGTCATCTCAAAGCCCGCCGACCAACACTTTGAGCGCAGTGCCCCGAGCCTGTCACTCCCGGTCTCACCCCGCAACGGCAGCTTCGGAGTCGACTACGGCGCCTTTACTCAACCATCACTTGCGGAACTTCGCGCCAAAGACGTCCCCATCGACGAGGTCGCCGCGTCTGCCCCCGTCATCCGTACCGCCAAGCCGCCTTCTGGGCTCTCGCCTTTGACCGCGCCCAAATCACCATCCCGCGACGCTTCTGGTGGTGGCCTCAGATCACTTCTGCGAAGCTCTTCGCGGCCCTCCTCAAAAGGCTCGCTCGGGTCGCGGGACGATGCTCAGAGCATCGGCAATCTCTCAATAGAACGCGGCTCTGCGCCAACACCAGAGCTCAGAAGACAACGATCCTACGACAGCTGGGGCAAGAAGCAGGGAAGGAGTCACAGGGGCCTGATGTATATGAGCTCCAAGGAACGACTTCGAGAAAAGGAAGAGAAGAAACGCGCGAGTATCGGTGAAAGAAGCTCGAGCAGCTTCACTGGAACGTCACTAAGACCCGATCCGTTCCTGGCCGAGACACCAATTAGCGAAGAACCCGCCTTTAACATGGAATCCCCCACGCGAGAGAATTCCAACCACCCGGACATGACGAGCCCCAACCGTGGGGAAGCCGCCAGCCCGCGTCCGATTCCAGCCCGAGATTCGTCCCTCTTCAAGACTGGATCGAACGCCAAGAGGTCGTCCACGAGATCCTCACGGTCAAAGCGAGAAAGCGAAAACGGCACGAGCGATGTTATATATGAAGGACACGAGAAAACGCCTGCGCGGGATGCTCCACGGCGGAAACACCTGTCTCGCCATGCTTCCGAAAACGACCTGGCTAGGATATCGGCCGACGCATCCGGCAAGCTAGCGAGCCGTCCATTGTTCGAGACCAGGCACACTGAGGACTTCCGAGTGTCGGGTCCGTTATTTGAGGAGGAAGATGTTGAGGACAGCGCTCCTTTCCCCGCCGTTGCTCAAGGTCGTCGTCGAGACGATCAGAGCGCCGACCGGAACATTCGGAAATCACTACGAGACAGTTCAGACGTTGGCGAGACCCTCAAGATGAAGCGCAGCAGTTCAAGGCTCAAGCGGCTCTCCACCGGGCCTTTGAGTCCAAAGGGAGAAGAGCCGCAGACGAGTGCACGCAATTCGGCTGCGTCTCCTGACAACCGCAACAGTATGCCCGCCGGCTACGAGCGTCCACGCAGCGCCGATTCCATCGACGACGCCGTCGAATCCTATCTGTGCTCTCCCAGACTATCACAGAAGATCAAGCATCCTCAGACTGGACGTGTAATTTCCTTCTCGGAAGTGGGAGACGCCGACGGGTCTGCCGTATTCTGCTGCGTGGGCATGGGGTTAACGAGATACATCACGGCATTCTATGACGAATTGGCGTTGACACTCAAGCTGCGCCTCATCACACCTGACAGACCTGGTGTTGGAGACAGCGAAGCATACGCTGATGGAACCGCGACGCCGCTCAGCTGGCCCGACGACGTCTACGCCATCTGCCAGGCTCTCAAGATCACCAAGTTCTCGATCCTCGCACACTCCGCCGGTGCCATCTACGCCCTGGCAACGGCTCTTCGCATGCCTCAGCACATTCGCGGCAGGATACATCTGCTTGCTCCCTGGATCCCGCCATCCCAAATGAACGTCTTCGGCACATCGCAGGCCCTTCCCCCGACGAACGCCATCCCGACATCCCAACGTATCCTCCGAGCACTACCGACGCCATTCCTCAAAGCCGCCAACAGCTCCTTCATGTCCGCCACGAGCAGCTCCATCACGAGTTCGCTACCCAAGACGCCCAGACGTAGCAAGCGCAAATCGACGGCGACAACAGGTCGGGGCACCCCAGCCATGTCGGACGGGGGAAAGCGGGACACGACACCCCACCTCGACAAGGAGAATCTCGGCCTCTTCAACTTCAAGGACCGCGACAGCACCGGCGATGCCTTGCTTGGCACCGGACCCGCTCCGATTGCCACAGAGAACATGGATAGGATAAGGCCCACAGGCACCGCATCGGCACAGGGCCATTACGACCCTGAGACGCAGATCCTGGCTGCCGCCGCGGACGCATTGATGGACAAGGAACGTCAAACAATCTACGACAACAGACTGACGCATGCCATTTGGGAACTTGCAACGACGGGCGCCAACCCTGCCGTCGACCTGTTGGTCTGCTTGGAGCGCAGGCACACCATCGGTTTCCGATACGTCGACATCACGCGCCCTGTCGTCATTCACCACGGTAGCCGCGATACCCGCGTGCCCGTCGACAACGTCAAGTGGCTGGGCAAGACGATGCGACGCTGCGAGGTACGCGTGCTCGAGGGAGAAGGCCACGGCCTCATGGCGAGCGCCGGTGTCATGGGCGCTGTGCTCATGGAGATTAGCAAGGAGTGGGATGATTGGCTCCGCGCCACCAACGGCAAGAAGGACGACCGCGGTCGAAGAACCAGCGCGCGGTAGAACAAGTCCTGTTATAAAGTGCTCGTTGCTTTCCAGGCCGGCAGCGAGGCGCTTCTGGCCAAAAAAGTTCAGATCTGGCATGTTTGGAATGATTGTCTTCGTCCGTCCATGATTTGACTGATACCTTGATTTACATAACAGCCCACAGAAAATGGGCATTTACATAATATTCGAGAGGGGTCATGTACGATTGGCATGGTTATTCTTGTACAGCACCGGCGTCGAGCGCGTCTTGGAGTTCTCTGGCAGATGGCGTCCTGGGTACGAGCTTTGAAGGGATGAAGCCATGGGACAGACGGGTGATTCATGTCGGACATGACCTTTGCACAAGACTTTCGTGTAGTATATAGTAGTACAGTATCGGGCCCCCGCCAGCAAGGCGAGGGTAGGCCGAATAATGTGTTAATACGATCTCCTTTGTGGATTCGAGTCGACGGTTTCAAATGTCTCGTATGAAGGTGCTGAACCGGCGTTCACGCCATCGCCCATCTCTCTCGTCATCGGCAGACTCTACCACCTGACCGATCTGAAGAAATTCTTTTGTATTGACTTGATTCTCGACTTATAGATGTATGATGTCTCTTTTAAACCATCATCAGCAGCATCCTCTCCATCGGTCACCCGACTGTTGCGACAACGCCTACCTCGGCAATCAATCCATCGCCATGTCGACGCTACAGTGAAACTACTCGGTCTCTACCTGACCTCAAGCGGATTCAGGGGAAGCTCCGCTACCACTGCCGATACTCAAAGCATTTCGTGAACCACGACGAGGACTCGACCAAGTTGACTGTAGTCTTGATAATTGCAATACCGATCATCCAGCGGTGTAAGACTTGCTAGTTGTAGGTATATGCGTCTCTCGCTGCCGTCGTTGCTGTCGCCGTTGCAAGAAACCAGATGATGATGCTGAAGAGCTGGGGAGAACTGGAAGGCGGAACCGAGAATTTGAAATCGAATTAGCGTGGTAGATTGACCAGGATAGTTTAATGTTCACTTTCGCATTACTACCCTAAGTATGTGAAGACTTGAGAGCACTGCGGCCTACCAACCACCCCTTCCTTGGCCTACTCGTTTTACACTTCTGTCTCCTTAGTCATATCCATGGCGGCCGTCTCCTTTTCCTCATCAGTAAAATCTCTTTCTCTCTATCCCTCATTATCATCATAGGAGACAATTGAATCAGCTTATATCGTGCACTGCAGCAGCAGGAGGTGCGCGTTGTTGAGCCTCGAAGTTATACCGCAGCCTCCCCAAGACAAAACTACAAGTTCACCCTGTCTGCGGCCACAAGATACTAGACGGGTACGTTGACCTATTTCCCCAGCCAGTCAAGGAAAGCAATACGAATCCCCCATTCGTTTGTAATGTCGACGTAGGCCCTCTGAACGCCACAAAGTCAGACGCGCGCCCTGGAAGACAGGACGTACCGCCTTGTTGCGTTGTCTCCTTTCCCAACGATGATATGTCAGTCACCCCCAGCGATAATGTACCAGTGATCCTCATTGTAATAATACGCCAGTCGTCCTGCTGGTAAGGAGGCCGATGATGGCGAGGGCTGACGACGACATGAGAAGGTGCCGATGGCGAGGGCCGATGATGGCGACAGAGATGATGGTGACAAAGGCTGACGAGGCTTGCGTTGGCGAGGGGGCTGAACTTGGTGATGTCGCGGCCGTTGGCGAGAGAGGTTCTCAATGGAGAGCAAGGGGCGTGTCAGATGCTGAGTGGATGTGGTCTTGGTTGCGTCTAGTATCGGTTGAATATGGTAATTCTCTTTCGTGTTGGATTTTGACATGGCCATTGCCGGTTACATTGTTGGCGAGGTGGTGGATGATTGCTTCGTGCAGGGAAAAGAGGTTGTCGTTGGAGTACTTGGCTGGGTTGGCTTGGTTACACCCTGTATGGAACACCTTGAGATCAGCTTTTGGTTTTCTTCACACATTGTGCAACTTACTGTCTCTCAAGGCAAGTCTTCGACGGCCCAGACGTTGCCAGGTCCATGGAAGTAGCGGCTGCGAGAAGAGCCGTACGGCAGCTAGACGTGTAATATATACGTGAATCGCTTCCACCCCAATGGTGAGGAGGATGCCTTTGGTGAGAGAGGCTGCCGGTCGGCGAAGAGGCTGGCTGTGGGAAGAGGGGCTGCTGATAGCAAGCAGGCTGCCAATGGGCAATGATTTGCCAGTCACCCCCCGATAGCGAGAGATGGCTGATGCCAGCAATGATTTGCCAGTCACCCCGATAGCGAGAGATAGCTACCGTTAGCGAGGAGGCTGGTGGTGGAGAGAGGGGCTGATGATGGCGAGGAGGCTGCCGGTGGCGAGAGATGTCGGTGATAGTGAGGGGCTAATAATAGCGAAAGAGATAGAGGTTGCTGATAGCGAGAGAGAAGGATGACAACAGGAGAGAAGGATGTCGACAGCAGAAAAGGGTGTAGAGAGAGATGGATGGCGAAGAAGATGGATGATGGCGAAGTAGATGGATGATGTTGAAGAAGATGGATGATGGCGAAGAAGATGGATGTCGACAGAGATCAGTGGCGGTGGGAGAGTTGATTGTCGACAGCACCTGTCGATGCCAGAGGGCCTGCCGCTGGCGATAGGGCTGACGGCGAAAGAGAAAGAGGCTGGTCACCCCACTGGCGACGTACTCCGCGTGTTCGCACCACTTCCATGACTGGAAACATTCGCAAGCCACGTATCTAGATCCTGCCGTTGCCGCTGTGAGAGCGTGCTGGTGAAGAAGGCCGTCGTTGGTAAAACCTTGGCGGGTAAATCAGTTGAATTCGTCGCACAGAATGGAGGATAACATACCAGTAGATGGCCTGCCGTTCGGCGAGGAGGCTGCCGTTGGCGAGAGAGGCTGCCGATAGCAAGGTGAAAGTCCATGCTAAACAACCTTGAACTACAGATAAAGACCTGAGACCATCCAATAGCTAATGATCGCTATGACTCGGGGACAATAGATCTATCTACTATTACAGACGAGGACTACTTCGTTCTAACCGCTAGGGAAGCGTTTCTAAGACTCAAGTACCTTAGAGTAAGCTAAGTGATATTACACTTAGACTTCTAAGCTATAGATTTATTTATATTTCCAACGTTTAGTTTAACGTTATGAATAATATCTACCCTATATTTAAGGATAGAATCAATAATATCAGCGAAGGTGTTTAGGCAATCTGTGGTAGCTTTCATTCTATAGCAGTATCAGAAGTTAGCAAAATGTGTAGCAATTAGGTGATAAGAACGGATGAACATGCCTTGGGGGCTGATAACGAGAGGGCCTGCTGTTAGAGAGAGAGGCGGGCGTTTGGAAGAGCGGATGCCGTTGGAAAGACCGTGTTAGCATGTGATACCATAGCTTCAAACTCAGCAACCAAGGCAGGTGACAACTCACAACTTGTTTACAATGCAAATTCAATGGTCCGAAATGTGATGGTTCATGTTAAGTGGTCCTGGAGGTTCCCGAGCATGATGTGGTTCAAAGGATGTAGTGAGCGGCACTGATCTTCTTATCCATTTGACATCCACGACCACACCTTTTAGTGCTGCTGATCAATAGGGAATTTCGTCTAATCAGGCCTGCTCAAAAAAATCCAGTTAATAAATCGAGTAATCAATCACAGCCAGAACCTGTTTGACGCTTAAAGGTGAGTTGTGGACGTCAAATGGATGAGGGTCATATTTGACAAATGCAAGTTGACTGGGCTGCCGGCTGGCAGCCGGCATTGCCTTGCATGCATAAGTGGGTCATTTGGTTCGTTTGGACCCCGCACAGGCCGGGAATCCGCCCCGAACACGGAAAACATCTGCGCCATCTGCAAGGATCTTTGTCCTACATTTATATGCGCCATTTTAGCTCATAGCTTGCACCAATAGGCACAGTGGCGGAGTGGTTAACGCGGTAGACTCGAAATCTACTTCCTTCGGGAGCGTCTGTTCGAATCAGGCCTGTGTCGTGATGTCTTTTCCATTTTTGGTGGTATTTTGAAGTCGGCGCACCATGTTTGGTGTTTTTGGTGGTGAGTGCAAATTTGAGTGTGGCACAACGCTACAGCGGAGTAAAGGCGTGAAGTTTCTTGCCATGTTTGGTCTGTGCCTTGGCAACAGTCGTAAACGTTCATGTGTTTATTATTCAATCTCACCGAGCTCACCGACAAAGATCTGCGTCGTGATATGAGGCCACCAACATGGCCTCTCGAGGGATAAGCTGTAAGAGTAGTTTGCAATTGTTTATAAGACCTTCGAGCATTCAAACCAATTCAGATTCACCAGAGTCAACGTTGTCTCTTGATATGATGTGCGGAATGAGGGGCGTGGGTCAATTCCAGGTGCCGATTTGCCTCTTGTGCGGGGAGTGAAATAGGCGCACCGCGCCCATCTGTACTTCAGGAGAACTCCAGCAAAACGCCAGGTGCGTCGTCAGCACCGAATCAATGAGAGCCGAAAGCCTCTGTGGCTTCAAACAACACAGAAACTTGTTTGTTGTTTTACCAAATCCTGGACCGCCGCAGAAACCAGCCTTTTTGTTCTGTGTCGAACATGTTGCAACAATCACCGACCAGCAATCCGTAGTTCTTTCAAAGAGAGGCGAATCATTCGGGACCCAACCTGAACAAACCCCATGCCACTATGCAGTACATTTTCTTCCTTTGGAGGTGCCGCTGTGAGTCCAGGCCCGGACAGCTGCGGCGCTAAGCCCTTGTAAGACACAACGCAACGGTCGGCGATCCAAGCCCACGGAACTACGTCATGGCATCCAACATGCGTCTCGACTCTTAATTACTTGCACCTCCCAGGCTTTCTTAGTCCAGCCCTACCGCACATGCCACGAGGTTTCACCCGTTTACAACTTATCGCATCCCGTAAACTTGGGAAGGATCGTCGACTTCATCTTGGCCTCGACCCGTCGCAAGAGTACTTTGGCGATAGCAGTTCACTTACACGAAGCCTGTCGCCCACATCTGAACCAGCAAGATCTTCGAAATGGATATACTACTCTCACTACCCATCGTATCTTACTTCCTGGCACCGGCGATGACTTCCTGGACCACCTCACTTAACCTGCTCTTCTTTTACATGACCTGGACTACCCTCGTCCTCTCACATGGTCCTCTCAAGATCGAGCTCCTAGGCACTCTGGCCCTGCGCGTCTTTCTTTGGCTCTTCCCCTCTCTCCTTTTCCTCCTCTTCGACACTCTTCTCCCGTCTTTGTCAGAGTCTATCAAGACGGCAGGCGCCGCAGCGCTCCCACCCACCAACGGTCCTTTTCTGCTCAAGACGCTGCTCCTCGCGCTCGTCAACCTCGTTTTCGCCGCAGGCCTCGAGGGGGGAGTCAGCCTGGCTTGGGCCTCCTACTTCCACGAACCTCTCTTCCGGGCCTCGACAGCTCTACCTCTTCCGTTCCAGCTCGTAAAACACATCGCTCTCCTCATCGCCGCCCGCGAAGTTCTCACCTTTTACATCCACACGCGCATCCTTCACAGCCGCGGCCGCCGCTTCACGAGCACTCGCATCGGCAAACTTCACACGTCTTATGCCCACTCTCGCGCCGCACCGCCCTTCTCTCTCATGGCATACGCTGACCACCCCATCCCCTTCCTAATTCACCGCATCGTCCCAATTTTCGTCCCGGCGTTGGCTCTTCGTCCGCATCTCCTCACGTACTTCCTCTTCGTCGGGTTCTGTACAGCAGAAGAGACCCTCGCCATGTCTGGGTACAGCATTGTCCCAGGTATCATAATGGGTGGCATCACGCGGCGGACTGCGATCCACTACGCCGGTAAGGGTGAAGGCAACTACGGTGCCTGGGGCGTTATGGACTGGGCTCATGGCACGAACAGTGGGCAGGATGTCATTGATGACATGAAAGCCGAAGCAGAGAAGCACCGCCTCAAGGAACGTGGAGAGAATGCAGCAAATCACGGTGCCAATTTTCTGCAGGATGGTATCCAAGAGCTGAAGAAGGGTCGCGGCCGCAAGGGAAAGAAGAAGGCTACTGAGTAAAAGGTCGGCGGGTTGCGATTGCTTTCGAACGTGAGGCCTTTGGGTATGATGGCTGAGATTGTTTGTGATTTCTTCACGTTGAATGAGTTGCTCTTGTATGTCCCGAGAATACCCCAAATAGCAGCCAATGAGTCTAAAGCATATGTACCAACGAAGCTCCGTACTGCGCGCCGATGCCTTGATCTCCGTTTACCAGATGCGCCCAAAGGCCCTTCCTTGAAACCCCTAGTCAGATTCATTCAAACGTGTCTATGCCCAGTTGTTCTTTCTCTTGAACCAACGGAGCGTCTCTAGGGCAGCCGTCACACGCATGCCCAGTCTTGCGTCAAAGACATATGCCTCCCAATTGACGACCTTGTCAAGCCATTCCTGGCACTCGTCCATCTTCTTCTTACGGTACTCCTTGACGAGCTTGGCCTGTGCCTCTGCATCCGCCGGCTCGTCGGCGGCTGGCTTCCTGGACTCTGGCTTGCAGCACTCGAACCAGGCAATAGCGGACATCTCATAGTGAGCCATGGGCATGGTGTACTCGTCTCTTGTTGTTCCCTTGAAAAGGGCTCTGTGATTTTGTCAGTTGACTATCTCATTAATAAGGGAAATGGTCGACTTACCTGTCGGCCGCGAGAACCTCGCTCAGAACCTCCCGTCCGTCATCGAACTGTCCCAGTGTCCTGTAAATCGCCGCCAGACACACAGACCGGATCGCAGCCTCATCGGGTGTCTTTTGCATCTTCTCAATGCCCTCAGCCGGCGCGGTGCAACGCTCCCAGGCCAAGCTCTTGATGGACTTGTGGAGCTCCTCATCATTCATTCTCTTCGTGCCGTTCCACAGGTTGACCATCTCTTGCGCGGGACTGACACCGATGGCATCGGCTAGGTCAATCTTGAGCTCCTTCGATCGGTCCTCCCACTTCTGGATCTTCCTCGTGATGAAGATGTCGAACGGCAGTTGACGAGCCATGAACTTCTTCCGCCCGGCAACTGTGGGCGCCTTGCGGAACAGCTCCTCAACCTTCTTCTTTCTTCTGCGAACCTCGTCGTCATCCTTCTTCTCGTGAACGGCGTTGCGGTATAGCTCCAGCTCTGCACAGCCAGCCATATAATAGTACAGGGTGTGACTCCAGTCGTTGAGCTCCAGACAGCGCAAAAAGGTCTTTTGCATGAGTTCCCAGTCTTGGTGAGACATGGCGGCCAACGCCAGCTCAAAACTGTTCAGAGCCGTGACCTGGCGCATTTTGCTCTCTTGGCCCGTCGTAAGCAGCTGAATGGCATCTGCAAGACGACGCTGCTGCGCAACGACTCTCGATTCCTCGACGCGCCACAGCCGCGAGTCCGGGTACCGCTGACGCATCGAGGCAAGCAGTGCGGCGCACTTCTTGGCAGGATATCCAACCAGCTCGGCCTCGGCATCGAAGTCAATCTCGGCGGGAACAATGTCGGCCTGGCCCATGAGGCCGTTGTAGTAACCCAGCAGAATGAGTCCAGCCACGGCACCGTTGAGGTTGTCGAACTTGGTGCTCTTCCACAGCATCCTCACACCACGCTCGCGGTCGCCCCTGAAGCCAACTACGTACAAAAGACGGGAGAAAGCCGGAGGAACCATGCTGAGCATGAAAAGAAGCATGCCGAAGCACATGTTGGCGCCGCTGTGGATGAAGACGTCTACGGGGTTGGTGAACACGTTCGAGTCCGAATCCGAGTCGTCCGCCATCTTTGACGACACCTGCAAAGGCGCCAGCTTCGCATCGTCCTGTGGTGTCGAGGTGCCGGAGTTGTCCAGGCTAAGGTTCGCCATGTCCTGTGCCGGAGCCTGCAATCCGTTCGTCTTCTTCTCTGAAGGCGTCTCCGCGCCAGATTTGGGAACCTCACTGGCATCCACAAACTCGATCTCGCTATCTTCCTTCTGGTCCAGGTCCGCGAACTCATCGTCGTCAAAGCTGCCGGGCATCTTGTCGTCACTCATTCGCGGCCGCAGCGGCGGCGGATCCGCCTTGCCGCCCTTATCCAATGCCTTTGCTTCCTGCACCATGATGCCGTCAAGTGTGACGAACGCCTTGCGGAGCTTATAGAATCCCTTGAGAGCCTCAGTCAAGCTCTCATGCAGGACAGCAACTACGGCGGCCATGAGCTGGGACTCGGCGTGAATGAGCAGAAACTCGGTGCCCGGGGGGTAAATCCTGCTGCTTCCGTCTGCAGCCCCCTCACGTTCGGCCTTTTTGTAATCTGCCCATGCCTTGGCCTCCGTATCGGCCAGTCTTTTCGAGGCCTCATTCATGACATCCTTCTCAAAGCCGAGGACTGACCGCAGAAACGTGGTCATGGACAAGCCCAGCTGGTGAAAGGCCGAGTCACCCTTCCTCAGACGCTCTTCGGCACCGTCAATGTCGTCGTTCATGATGAGAGCGGCGGCAACCATTGCCTCCTCGATGTCGGCCATCTCCCGCGCAGACAGGTTGACCTGTGAGGCCGCCGGGCTCGCATTGCTGCTCACCTTGCCCGCGGTGGAGCGGAACCACGAGCCGAGTCTACTCATCTTGCCGGCGGGCGGTGAAGCTGAAGTAGTTGTGTGTGAGTGTTGAGTTGCACACTCGAAAAGTCTGCGAGAGATGAAAATTTGTGAAGTGTAATATCTCAAGCAAAAAATTGACGCAGCCGCTGTTTGTTTCCACCTAGTGCAATCGGACCCTCGGAGTCGCGAGGCGTATTGGAAACCGGAAACGCTCCGGCGAAGACGCTGACAGACGAACAGAAGAGCCGTGGATCCCAGGCGATGGAGCGCTGGCGCTGAAACACACGGGTCGATTGCCCGATTCTGGGTGCTACTGATCGGGGAAAATGACGTCTGTCCCAGTTGGGTTGGCGCTGTAAAGGACCACCGCTCCGGGTTGAGGCGGCGTTTGTGGTGGGATTAAATATGGGACGCGGAAGCGAGAAATGGCTCTTTGGGGAGATCGATGTCTTGGTGGACAAAGATGATGTCGACGACTAGAGCAGCTGAGACGGCGAGTTGAGAGCCGGAAACAGCATCGAAGGACGGAGGCCCTCGTGTCGATATGCTCACGGCGTGATGACGTCCGAATCAGGGCCGACGTCGAACCTCGGGATCATGAGCGCCTGCGTGTGAGTGAGGTCGAGACGCAGCTGTTGTTGGTGGGAGAAGAGGTTAGAAGTGAGCAGTGGGAGTGAGCGGTTGAGTAAGATGATAAGTGAGCAGAGTAAGACAGGACAAGGAGTGGTAGGGTAAGGTAAAGTAGCGTAGACAAGGTGAGGCAGAGTAAGCCTCGACGAATGACGAATGAGCTCGAGTTGAACAACCAAGGGGTGCAGTGCACGTACTGACGGTTCGAGTCGTGAGAAGCGGCGGCGCGCTAGAGTGGCCAGTCTACTCGCAACGGCTTTCGTCGGTCTGTAAGGCAGACTGCCTGTATGGCTGTAGGTAGGTAGGTAAGTAGATAGGTTGATGTAGAGGTAAGTAGGTAGGGGCGGTAGGCGGATGGTAGAAGACGCTTGTACACTTCACCGCACAGAAGCGTTGAAGCGAATACACGTATTCGGGCTCCTTCAGGGCATAAAGTACGCAGCAGCAAAGTCAAGGAAGTCTAGTTGTGGCGCGGGGCACGAGGGACCTGGGAACTTCAAGCGAGGGAGACGGGTCGAGTCGAAGGCCTCGAATGGGTGGCTAGAAGCTGGAGCTAAGGGCTGTTCGTTTATGCGCCGGCGAGTCTACTAGTCGAGGGTGGATGGATGAGATGGGATGAGATGGGGGACTCTGCAGGTAAAGAATACGGGTGATGACAATGTGTGTCGGAGCTGGAGGCCTTGTTGACATAGAGGCAGAGTTGCAGGTTCTCTTCACAGCAAAACTGTTGACGTAGTGCATGTAATAAGATGTGCGAGTACAGAATGAGCGAGGGACTTTGGACCTTTGTAAGCCGCAGAGGTGCCGTGTGCCTCCAATGTGTTGAACACCGTCTTTGACATTCTTGGGGGCTCTTCCGGATCATCTCAAGAACGGCCAGGGATCGCTGGAGAGCTGTGCCTACCTTACCTACCTTACTATGGAGCATGTATCCGTACTACCGCATAGTACGAAGAGTGCAGCAATAGCGTCGTATTCCAGGCTGTTGGCTTGTGGCTGAGAGATCCGTTCCCGCTTCCGCATTCGCATGAGGTGTCATTCCAGCCAAATTCACTTGATCCCGTCCAGCGCTGGTGCAGCGGACGGTGGGGTGTGTCCGGGTCTATCGGGTCTATCGGCTGCTGTCAATCACCGAGAGGCCACCCGGAGGAGCGCGAGTTTGCAGTACTCCGCTCCGTCGAGGTCCCCTAGCCCCTCTCCTTCTCTTGCGGACTTTGATTAAAGCTTTGCGAGAAGAGACAGGACCCTAGGCGTTGATGACCGCAGTTAGTAAGTAAACCCCGAATGATATACGTGTAAACCAACCCTGTCAACAAGCTCAAGCCCAGCCAGCCCCCAGGATCCCGCGGTGCAGCAGACGCAGGCTTAGCAAAAAGACCCTACGCCAAGAGATCATCCGCTACTGCATCTCTCAGTGCGGCGGGCGGCAGACACAAGCACATGAATCAAGCACCCACATGTCTTTCGTCGTCCCCTAAAGCCGTCGTGGACAAAGTCAATACCCGCCGACCGGGTGGCCTGGCCGACAGGAGACGAAAAAAGAAACGCGCAACAGCATCCGGACCCTCTCTCTCTCTTGAGTGTGTGTGCTGCAGACCGGCAAGTCAGTCAGTAGAGTTGACTGACAAAAGTTTGCCTCGTCTCAACTCGAGTCGGAGCGCCTCCCGACGGAACGGTGATGGATCTGAGGTGGTACGGGTGAGAGATTGCCTACCACATGAAGAAGACACACGCATGATGTGCCCGGCCGCCGGTCTCGTTGCCTCTGGCCGACTTTGATGCCTGCTCGCGTGCTCAGTCCCCTAAAACGGGTTGCTGACGGCCGAGATATGTTCCTGTATTCGTATGTGTTCTCCTGTGGATGAACAGGTGCCCTTTTCAAACCGCGGCACGGCGGGCAGCGCTGCCTGGCGCGAACTTACGCACAACCGCAGCCATGCCGTCCCAACTGTGGCCTCTCGGTTTTCCATACTCGCATCGCATACGACAAATAGGAAGGTAACGAGATGTCTTGATGCCGTTTGTCGGTGGCTGATGTGGTGTCCACGGAGCCACCGGTCCTGTAGGAGGCTGAGGAGCAGTCCAAAGATTGGCCTCTCACGGCTTCAAAGATGAAGCTCTCCCCTGACTGTCCTACCTACGCTTCCATGGGTTGACATGACTGAATGCACCTCAAAGGCCTCCATATCGACCGCAATTGGGGGAAGCTAGGCAGAAGACCAGCTTCATTGGGCGGTACCCTAGACAGATGAGTCAACTGTCCGGCATTCAGTCCAAGCCGGGAGTCACCTCTGTTGAATGAGAAGACGACTTGTTGCAGAGCCTGCGTGGTTTTGCTGCCTTCACAGAGTGAATCAAACAACAAACAGGCTGGATGAGTACTGTCTTTTTGAATATGCAGTGACGCAGTCATGATACCTTAGCAGAGTAAAGATGAGCTGCTTCAGCGCCTTTGCCCACTCACCGCGCTGATTCTGCCGCCAACACCCCGCCCGCGTCACACATTCAGCGACAAGCACCCGGCCTTGGGCGCAGTAAAGTGCCTTCACATACGGGGACCTCACCCCACCACGCCTTAAAAGCAAGCTACCCCGCCATCATCGCAGTTCACCACTCTTCATCTGTGACACCTGCAACCAGCCATCATCACTCACCGTTGCCGGCCCCAGAAGCGTCTTTTCTTTTCCCTGCTTTCTTCTTGCGAGCTGTGTCTGCAAGCCAAATCGAGCGTTTCCTGCCGTTTCCCCTGACAGCTCCACACGAGATCCACCTGCTGCTGCTGATCAAGAGCTTCCAACCTTGACGGTTACAGCTCCGTTTCCAACCAACAACAGCTTCTTCATTCTCGCCAACCTCTCCTTCAACACCAACACTAAACTACAAAGTACACGCTTCCAATCGCCCATCATGTCGAGCAAACGCATCGCCAAGGTCCGTTCTTACCAAACCCTCCCTCCCCTCCCCCGCCAAAGCCAAACTAACGTCGCCCGTCTCTCCAGGAACTCACCGAGGTCACCGCCACCCCGCCGACCGGCATGACCATCGCCCTCGCCCGCGACGCCGACCTGCACACCTGGCACGTCACCCTCCAGGGCCCCGAGAACTCCCCCTACGCCGGCGGCACCTTCGCCGTCATTGTCGACCTGCCCAAGGACTACCCCTTCAAGGCCCCCGTCGTCAAGTTCGCCACCCGCATCTACCACCCCAACATCACAAACGACTCCCTCGGCAACATCTGCCTCGGCATGCTCAAGTCCGAGAACTGGAAGCCCGCCACAAAGCTCTCCGCCGTCCTCGAGGCCGTCCGCTCCCTCCTCGTCGAGCCCCAGCCCGACGACCCCCTCGAGGCCCGCATCGCCGACGAGTACAAGAACAACCGCCCCGACTTTGAGAAGAACGCAAAGGTCTACGTCACCCGCTACGCCAAGGGCCCCGCCAACTTTTCCGTCCCGGAGGTCAAGCAGTAGTCACCTAAGGTACTATGGGGCAAAGGTCGTTAGGCAGGAGGAGCGGACAGGGCGGATGTCAAGATGGAAAGACACATGGGCTACATTCAACACACAAAACGGTGGCGGTTGATGGCGAGAGCATTGGCGGCGTTCGGGATGGGATTCGGCTTATCATGGGCCTTGATACCTTTGCAAATGTTTCCGTAATTGGACCCGTTATTTTGAACATGGAATTTGAAACACTTTACCATCACTGTGACCATATGAATACCATGATAATCTTCATGTATTTGTCTGTACAAAGAAAACGTATCTGCTCGGGGCCAAAAGATGGCACCCTGTGGTAGAGCTGCGACAAGTGTTGCTGTTCCAGTCAGGCAATCTCGCATGCATCTGCTCTATGCTGCCAAAATTCCAATATGCTAGGGGCTCGTCTGTGCCCTCTTCTAAGATGATATCCTTTTTTCGCTTGCCAGTTGTCCCGCATGCCATGTAGTCATTACCATTAAATGCAGTTTTCCCCAAACGCCATTGCTGAATGATATGCTTGCTGCCTCCCTGCCTTCTTGCTTCTGCAATGTTATCACATCACCTCGGCTGATCTGCCCAGCTTCCTCCGTCCGAAAATGGTGTTCTTCCTGCGCACCTCGCCGTCGTCGACTGCGTTTCCGCTGCCCACGGCATACGTGGCCGCCCGAGCACCTTCCGTCTGCACCTTGTCACGTCTCTCTTGTCGTTGACTGTCAATGGTGTCTTGGCTGATATGACCAAACCCGTTGCGACGTTTGAAAGTCGCCTCCATGAGGGCGTTGGCGTCTAACAGCCGGCGGGGCATGGCTTGAACAGTAGAAAACATTTCCATGGGATCAGCGACGGCCCGAACCTCGTCTTCGCCAAGTTTGAAAATGGCAAGAGCGATGCGGAAGAGCGTCTTGGAGCCTTCGTAGAAAAAGACGTCCCACACGCGGAGTGTGCTTTCGATGGGAAGAGTGCCGATGAAGCAACTCATGAACCACGCCGTCATACACAGTGTGATTGGCGGCAGACGATTCGAAGAGATGCTGGGTTGGTTCTTCCTCCGAGATCTGGGCTTCTTTACTGGCTTCGCAGGACGCGGTGCGTTGGGGTCACCTTCCAAATCGTCGCCAATCTTGGCCCATACTGCGGGCATGGACTCTCGAATGGCATTCATCAGAACACCTAGATCAACCTTAGATCCTTCGAGACTCATCTCGTGGGTGCCTGGCAGGTACAGCCGTGTAATGACGTTCAACAGCCAAAAACATTGCTCCTCTGAATCCATGAACAGAAGCAGCAAACCAGCGAGGAAGTTCAGACTCTGACAGTAGCCGATGCGAGGGTTGTAGATGGCGAATGCGTGTAGAACTCTCCTCAGGGACGAGATAATCTGGGGCTCATTCGTGTCCGAAGGCTTCTTCTCGTCGTCATCCTCGCCCTTCCTCTCAGGCTCTACGTTCGGCTTTCCAGCCATGCTCGCAGGCTTGAACTTGATGTTGTCCGGAAATGTTCGGTGCAAATCTCGCTCAATGGCCTCCACGTCGACATCTTTTGCCTTCTTCTGCAGTAGTTGATCGTACAAACCGGAGTGCTTGGCCAATATAGCAGGGCCTCCGGCGTAATAGAACCAAGCGGCACCTCTCCATTCGGGAGGAATGCCTTTGCGGATAAACCGTTTGGCCTTGGCACTGTGAGGTGGGAACCGCTGTGGACGGTCCGTCATGAGGCCATTCTCTTTCAAGAAGGCGGTCCATTTCTTACGTCTCCTGTCCAAATACTGAGAATAGCCCTTGTCCCAGTTGTCGTATTGTTCCCTGGTGATGTACTGATTGGCCTTTTTGAATCCGTATCGATCCCGAGCACCAGGTTCCTCGATTTCTTCGGGCTCAACAGCAGTTTGCATCGAAGACGTTGTTGGGCTGCTCATTTTCGGCGACGGGGTTAGCGAGTCTTTTTCATTCTGAAGAGACTTTGCCGAGTCTCTTTTCTCTTTTTCGTCCACCTCGTCATCCTTTTCATCGTCATCGTCCTCCTCTTCGTCTCCCTGGTCGTCGTCCAGCAAACCAACCTCTTTGGGCAAAGACGAAGGGTATTCGGATACTCTGAACATATCGACCGATTGGCGGACAACGGTCTCTGAAACAGGAACGGCTAGTGAATTTGCAGGCATCGTCAACGGCTGACTCAAGACTTCGAGCATTCTCGTATTGCGCTTGTTGATCTCGGACGCCGGTACCGGGCTATCGTCGTTGTCTTCGGGGCTCGAGTCTTGAAAGCCTTTCTCGTACATGCCCATCACGTCGTCGACACTAAGCTCTTCGCCGTTAGCGTACAGAGAAGGGACTGAGCTGTTCTTGGTCAGAACACTGCTTCTTTCCGTCACGTACGTGCCCTGCGCGCTCGAAGATGTCATCTGAGATCGGTAGCTGGACCGCATCTCGTCTCCACTCATCCACGGTGCCTCACGCGCATAAGTAGACAAGCCGGAGCTTGAGCTATCAACCCGACCGTATGCCAATGGGGGTCGGGCGAGGCTCGACGGAGGCGGGGCACTCCGGAGCCGGGATGGGGCGCGATGCTCGTAGTTATCGTTTCCTGTGGCAGGCATCGAGGAGAACGTCGAGGCAGACCGGGCGGAGGAGCCAGACTGGCCCCGTGGCCGAGGCCATGCTTGATGATGCGAATTGGGGTCGGAGCGTGGGTCTGAGGGAGAGTAGTTCGCTGGCCGGGGACTGTACGAGTCCTGTATCGGCCGCTTGATGCTAGGCCTTCTCGGACGAGAGAAGTTGTCTACCTGCATGGTATCGATCGAGGATCGGTCGTCGTCGTCGTAGGGTACGGGAGATCTAATCGAGCGGGCGGCGGCTTTGCTAGTCCATTCGTCGGCACTCAAGTCGTCGTCCTCTTCGTAACCACGACTGAGGCTGGGGGACGGCGAGGCAAAGGGGCGTTCCGAGGAGGGGTATTTTCGAATTGAGTGGAATAGGGCACGGCGAGGCGACTGCGACTGTGACCGGGCGCTCATGAGGTTTTGTTGCCTCGCAAAGTTACTGGAATTGTTTGCCAGCGAGTCCCAGCGTGGGGGGGATGTGGGTAAGGGATGTGCATGTGTTGGAGAGTTGGCGGCTGGGGAGTCGGGACGCTCTGGAACGTCAGAAGCTGGGACGGGTTTCGGATGGGTCCGCCTTGAAGCATAAATACCGAACTGACGATGCTTTATGCTCGTCTGACGGTGGATGGTAGGGTCCTGGTCTGCCATGGCTCCCGAGGCGATCTGGGCGTCGGGTTGACCAGAATCCGCTGCCACGGCCATGAGGGTCATGTTGGCTGAATCCCCCCGGCCGTTATATGGCAGCGGCGGCGACTGCTACAAGAGGGGATTGACCGAACGGGAGGCGTGTCAAAGTTGATAATGTTTCTTTCCCTTTGCCTTTCTCGTTATGACAGGGCAGGCAAAGCGGTAGACGTGGGTGTTGCAAGCAATAGTGTTCAGGTAGTGGTGGTGCACTTTGGTTGTAGTAGGGCAGTCAAAGTCGTCGAGAACGGTACCATCGCGGCACATGCATGAACCTTGCGTCTTGCAGCAACCCTCTCGAATAGTCTCAACAACTCGTAGTCGGTATTGGCCGGGCGGGGCGGGTTCAATGGGTGATCGCTGCTGGAAGCCGGGATATGGCAGGTTGAAGAACGGTCGGTGCGAGGGTGGTGCAAAGAAAATAGGGTGACAATCAAGTCGAGTTGAGCAAGGAGCGGCGGCAGGCTTTGAAAGAAACACAGGGCATGCGACGAGACGAGGTGATGCCCTGAGGCCGGTTCATGCGTATGCAGGCTGGGGGCCGGATGTAAGGGGGGAAACTTGGAAGTGAAAGATCGACCGTCAGCCGAGTCAATGGGCGAGAGCTGGCGTTGTTCTGACGAGGTCTGAGGTCGAATGGTAGGTCGGGGAATGCGAAACAAGAGACGCAATGTCAGAGGAGTCAAGTTGGGGAAACGGCTCTGACAGGTGCAGACGCAGGAGGTCGTTATCGTCGGTAAAATGAGGAGACCAAGGGAGAGGTATCCGACTGGTGCGGTGAGCGTGTGGTGGTATCGATGGGTCGAATGGCACCTTGGGATTGCGGAGGCTTCAGGAACGGGGCCAGGTACGCAGCGGTTTAAGGCAAGGCACACACGGCAAGGTAGGTACAATGGATGGACCTGAAGTATGTGTGGATGGCGGCCGTCTTCGTCCGAGGTTTGGTTGGTTACTGGCGGGTGGTCCTGGTTTTTTGGGGGCGGATGCCTGCTGTCGCAGATGAAGATGCTAAAACTGAAGCGAGCGTTTGGACCCGGACCAGGGCGTCTTCGTCATTGGCTCAAGCCGAAGCCGGGAAACATGCGTCGAGAGGATCGGAAGAAGAACAGAACGGAGAGCGGGGCATCGAGTGTTGAAAGGTAGAAGCAGAGCTCTGAAATGCTGTAGGTGGGATGCAGAGCTCCAAGTGGCCCAAAGCAGTTGTCTGTCTCTCTTGTCTGTTTCTTTTTTTTTTGTTTTCGTTGCTTTGATGATGGTTCAGGGCAGGGCGGGCATCTGTGGCGTCGCCAAGGTCGAAGGTGTCTCGGAGACGCAAAGAGTGATTGACTCGTGCGTCAGGTTCTGGGAGGCGCTGTCGCTGCCACGAGGTAAAAGGAACGACGGCCGCGGTCGGATGGTTCGGCGGGCTGATTGGCCGACTTTCAGACGTAAGGAAGGTATCGCTGGCTGCTGTCGGTTCGGTGTTGATGAGGCCGGTGCGGCTTGGACACGGTCAAAGAGAGACAGTCCCGTCGGGTCGAGGCGGACGAAGAAACGAGAGATTGTGGTAGGATGAGCGAGTGTCGCAAGGAGTCGAGACAGAGAGGAAAGAAAAGATTAATCAGGTGGATTGGCGAAAGGAGGCGGCGAAGGCCAGCAGATGGGCAGCCCACGGTTAGAGTAGGTAAGGTAAGGTAAGGTAGTAGATATTATTTTGCCCGGGCGAATTACCGACGAGAGGAAGCAATTGAGGAAAATAAAATAAAGATAAATAAAAATAGGATCAAAAATGTAGGGAAGGATCAGATGGAAGGAGCTTCCCGAAAGTGTGATTTACCACGCGGGAGGGAGCGAGGAAGGAGCACCCAAATGATGATGCCAGTGCAGATTGCAGGTGCAGCTGCCGGCGCAAGCGCGAATTTAGCAATGGAAGTCACTTCAGAAGGTGAAGACACGAGAGAGAAGGGGGGGCAAAGAAAGGTAAAAAAGGGATTGCTCGTTGACGAGATTGAGATTTGAGATTTGAAATGGAAGATCCTCTTCTCTTCTCTCTCTGTCCCTCTCCCTTCCAGGTTTCTTCAAGGTCTCTCTTCGCCTCCCCTGGTCCGTTGTCTTTCGCTTGTCGAGTCCGCCTGGAGGCATTTCCACTTCATTCTCATTTTCATCCCCCAATTTCACAGACTCAGTACATATGCACTCTGTGCGGCACGCGGGAAGGCATCTGGATGGGAGCTCCCTTGGAGAGAACGGGCCAACTGATGGCTGGCGCCAATAGAAGCATTCCAATTCCAACGGTGGTCGAATTATGAATGCGAGAAATGCATGCATGCCTTCCATGCCTGGCTGTCCAGTCTTCTTTCTCTTCCCTGGCTTCCCTGTCAGTACTTTACCATGTATACTAGCAGACGGGAGAGAGAGAGAGAGAGGTACCGCGCCGCTGGCTCCGAGGCGAAGCCAATTCCAGATCCCAACACCCAGGACCATACCAAGACTTTTCAATCACTACACGCGCCAAACGAAGGGGCAATAGATTGATTAAACGGTGAGAGTCAAGAGTCAGACACCCGTTGGCGAACGGCATCCAGACTCTGCCTCTGTTTCTGTTTCTATCTTTTCTCTCTGCGAGTCTGCCTCGAGCAGCAAGTAAGTACAAGGACAGTGAAAAAATAGAAAAAAAGTTCCAATCAACAATCAATCCGATTCAGCGGTCCATCCACATCGTCGCCAGATTCCGCAACACCGCCGCGACGTGTGCTCCTTCCCCGCAATCTCTCATCAATCGCATCTCTCTCTGTCGGAGAGTCAGACGAAAGACGCGGTCAGTCGTCAGTCGTCAACAGCCAGGTTGTTCAGCTTGCGCCTAGCACGGAGGCTGCATACGTACTGCGGTACACTGTAGGTACTCGGCAGGTTCAATTGGTGCCCCGTTTCTTCCTTCTCGAACAAATTCCATCCACTCGGGATGTGGTACGGCATGCGCTCGGAGGCAGGTACCTGTTCTTGCCAGCGTCAGCCAAGCGTTGACACAGGTACCGTCCGATGTTTCCTGGCTCTCGTCCCGGCCGACATGCTCTCCGCCGTCTTCCCGCATCCCTTGCATCCAAGACCGATAATACGCTGCGCATTATTACCACGGCGGCCAGCACACGCGCCTTGACGTTTATTCCCTGCGGTGCGTGGCAGCAGGTACGCAACCCTCGACGACATGTCAACTCGGCGCCCACTCTCAGCCTCCGTCAGCCAGGGCAGGGCATGGCATCCATGGACGACGGCTTCAGGACTGAGAAAACACTGCACCTGCAGGGAACAGAAATGCAGTCAGGAACATGAACGGGACTGCGACTGTGGGTCTTTGCTTGGTGAGCCAGTGAGCCAGGTACTTTACGAATACAAACGACGATGGGACAGATGGACGGACGGCGGCCACCGGACAGTGGCCCGGATGTCGACCCGCGACCACCACCTCACGCAACGTCCCGGCAGCGCAACAAACGCACCTGGTGCAACGCTCTCTGCAGGGGCACCCACCAGGGCACCAGGGGAAACCACTTGTGCCGCGCTGCACCACCTACGTACCCGTGTTGCCGTGGACCTGCTTAGGGGCTGCTGACGGCGGACAACAGCGGCTAACAGGCGCACAACCTAAGACTGCCCGGGCCACAGCGGCCTTGTTCAAGGGGGGACTTCCCACTGCCCACGGGCAGCTTCCATTGTGCAGGGCACCTGGTAGGGATTGCTCAGGGCTGCCAGGGCCCTGCCAAAGATGGTTTGCTAGCGTCCACCCGTTCCTGGCGCTAGTCCCGATCAAGAAGCCATCACCCTCTGCCCAATCACCTTCCAATTTCCCGGGTAAGAGCCCGATTCCGATCCTGACTGGCCGAAGTCCCCTTTCGGAAACAGCCAAAGAAAATCTGCTCGTCCTTCGTCATCTTTTGCATCCCACGATCCAATTTTTGCTGCTCAATATTTGCCTTTTCTCTCCGCCCACCTCAACATGTCTCCAGTTCCCGCTGCTGGATGGGTCTCGCCGTTTTTCTTTTTGTTTTCTTTTTCCCTTCCTTTTTGTTCTCCTGTTCCCCCGACCCGACCCGTTCTTACGGCATGACTAAGACTTGGGCCCTGATCGTTTCCTCCGTCGACCACATGGTCTGGCCCTGTTCCTGTTGACCAAACAGCTC